GTGGCTGCCAAAGGATAGCTGTACAGAAGTCTGTATCTCTGATTAGCTTGAAGCATGAGCATTTCTCCTTGAGCAGATGTACCAAATGAAGTAATTAGCCCAAGTCTCTGATACAACTAAACTGATTTTTTTGTTTCTAGGATTAACCTTCCTTCCTTCCTTCCTTCCTTCCTTCCTTCCTTTGGAAAAAGAAAGTTTCCCCATTGAAACTGTGCACATAGGCCCTTTGATCTTTATCCCTCCCCCATTACCTTGCATGACACTTTGCAATAAAAGTTTGACAGTGTTGCACTGCAAAAGTGAGATGACAACATTTGTGTCAGCTTACTGCAGGCATAAGGACCTGCGGCCCTTGAGATCTTTCTAGACCTCAGTTCCCATAAGCCTAAAACAGCATGGTTGATAGAGATACTGAGGGCTGTAAACAACATCTTGAAGGAAGCATGTTCCCCCCAATTGCCCTGCTTCTTCTTTTCTATTTTAGGGTCAACACTGGATTGATATGGCCTGGAGATCTTTTGTCGTTCATAATCTCTGAATGGCATCTCTCTCAAAATGAGGCATTGAGCAGGGCTCATTAAAAATTACTTTTTAAAATTATAGCTGTCAGAATCTTTCAGCCAATCTGCCCCTTAACAACAAAGCTCTAGGGCTGCATTCACACTGCAGAAATAATCCATTTTCACACCACTTTAACTACCAGGGCTCAATGTTATGGAGTTCTAGGAGTTGTAGTTTAGTGAGACTTTTAGCCTTCTCTGTCAGAGAGCTCTAGTGCCATAACAAACTACAATTCCCAGGGTTCCATAGCACTGGGCCATGGCGGTTAAAGTGGTGTGGAACTGGATTATTTCTTCAGTGCTTATGCAGCCTAGGTTAGAGGGTGGCCATAGGAATGTAGGAAGATCCATACTGGATCAGGCTGAAGGCTCATCCTGTCCAACGTTCTGTGTAAATAGAAACCATCCTCTAGAAAGCCCACAAACCAGAACATGAGTGTGACAGCACATTTCCACTCATGATTCCAGCAACTCTTATGCTTGCTATCTCTGATACTGGATGTAAAATACAGGCATCATGACTTTAACTAATGATAACTTTATCTTCCATGAACTGGTCAAATGTTCTTTTAAATTCATCCAAATCTGTAGCCATCACATCTTAGGGATTTATATAATCACATCCTCTTTCTGAACTAACAGGGTAGTCTTAAGGAACTGCTGGAAAGATGACTCCATTTAACTCAGTTATATGACTACATTGTGAACCGCCCGGATTGGGAAACCAGAGGGCGGTATATAAATAAAT